CGGGAATTTTTTTCCCTCTAGGCTAAGAACGCGGGCTTTTCTGGAGTCTGTATACTTTCAGTTCAATGAATTTACCTTCAATAGACATATTGTAGGAAATACAGCAGAAACTTTGATTTTTTATTGACATAGTTTACAATATTGTGTCAATTTCTGGTATATAGCATAATAGTTCAGTCATACATATATTCCTTTTCATTATAGGTTACTACAAGATGCTGAATATACAGTATTCTGTACTATATAGAGGAAACTTGCTGTTTATCTAATTTATCTATTTTATGTATAGTAGTTAGTAGCTGCAAATATTGAACTCCCAATTTATCCCTTCCCACCCTTTTCCCCCAGGTAACCATAAGCTTGTTTTCTATGTCTGTGAGTCTGTTTTATAAATAAGTTCATTTGTGTTTTTTTGTTTTTTTAGATTTCACAATTTTCAAAAGATATGTGGTATTTTTATTTCTCTTTCTGGCTTACTTCACTTAGTATGATGATCTCCAGGTCCATCCATGTTGCTGCAAATGGCATTATTTTATTATTTTTTATGGCTGAGTACTATTCCATCGTATACATATACCACAACTTCTTTATCCAGTCATCTGTCAGTGGACATTTAGGTTGCTTCCATGTCTAGGCTATTGTAAATAGTGCTGCTATAAACACTGGGGTGCATATATATTTTCAAATTAAGAGTTCCTTCTGGATATCCACCCAGGAGTGGGATTGTTGGATCATATGTTAAGTTTGTTTAGTCTTCTGAGGAATCTCCATACTGTTTTCCACAGACTGCACCAAACTACATTCCTACCAGCAGTGTAGGAGGGTACCCTTTTCTCAGCCTCTCCAGCATTTGTCATTTGTGGCCTTTTTAATGATGGCCATTCTGACTGGTGTGAGGTGATACCTCATTGTATTTTGATTTGCATTTCTCTGATAACAGTGATACTGAGCATTTTTTCATATGCCTATTGGCCATTTGTATGTCTTCATTGGAGAATTGCTTGTTTAGGTCTTCTGTCCATTTTTGGACTGGGTTTTTTTGTTGTTATTAAGTTGTATGAGCTGTTTAGATATTCTGGAAATTAAACCTTTGTCAGTCACATCATTTATTCCGTAGGCTGTCGTTTTGTTTTGCTTATGGTTTCCTTTGCTGTGCAAAAGCTTATAAGTTTAATTAGGTCCTGTTTGTTTATTTTGC